GACCTGTGGCCCAGCAGTTACTTGTCCTTTTGACTTTCCTTTGTTCTCAGTTCTTCATGGGTGAAAATTGCAACTTCCCTGCTGTCTACCAGGTCACAGGTGAGCAGTCACAGAGGCTGCTGTCCCTTTGGGCATGAGCACAGGGTCAAAAAAGCTTCCTGGGGCTGGAGTGATAGCAGGTAGGGTGATTGCCTTGCACGTGGCCAACCCGGGTTCGATTCCCAGCATTCCATATGGTCTCCCAAGCACTGCCAGGGGTAATTCCTGAGTGTATGAGCCAGGAATAATGGCTGTGCATCGCCGGGTGTGACCCAAAAAGCCCCCCATCCAAAAAAGAAAAGCTTCCTGATCATTTGGGATGGGAGATGTTTGCTGAAAGTAGATAAAGGACCAAACATGATAACCTCCAGTATCTGTATTGCAGACCATAATGCCCAAAAGTAGAGAGAGAGAGAGTATGGGGGAAATCGACTGCCATGGAGGCAGGGGGAGGGTTGGAAAGGGGGCATATACTGGGGACATTGGTGATGGAGAATGTGCACTGGTGGAGGGATGGGTGTTTGATCATTGTATGATTGAAACGCAAACATGAAAGCCGGTAATTGTATCTCACGGTGGTTCAATAATAAAAAAATTTTTTTAAATTTTAAATTTTCTGACTAGTGTTTCCTCTTTAAGCATCATTATTCCTACCCATTAGTCATTTTCATTCTCTGTTTTATAGGCTAGCCCTAGTGCTGACAGATTTTCTTTTCTTTCCTTGTTCTTTTTCCCCCCCCCTACCATTTTTGGGCCATACCCAGCTGTACCTGAGCATACTCCTGGCTTTGCACTAGGGGTTTGTTTACTCCCAGCAAGGCTCCTGGGACCATATCAGAAATTGAACCCAGGTCTGCCATATGCAAGGCAAGTGCCCTGCCTGCTGGACTATGCCTCTGCTCCCTGACAATATTTTTAATGATCAATTGTATTAACTAAAATATCTTATTCCTCTACTCTAACCTCTTCACTGTAACAGTCAATGCTTGCCCAAAAGGGGAAGCCGACCTTTCCTGCAGAGTGATGGATGCAGTGTTGTTCTTTGTTTGGGTTTATGGATACTTTCTTGGATGTGGGAGAGATTCTCACCCAGGGCCTAAAGTGTTGTCTACATGTCTTGTGCCTGGGAATATGGTTTAGTCCTGGAAGTCAGCCCTAGGACAGTGTCTTATATTGCTCAGATGCTACCTACTGTTTTGTTGAATTGCTATTAGATAGCATGAGGGCCTTGCTTCATGGGAACCCCCTGAGACACCATGGAGAGGATGGACAGTGGCTTATCTCCCCATTGTTGTGCCTGTGAGATTTCTGGTTTGTATCTCCTCGTGGGTCCCAGGTTAGCTTCTGGCATCCTGGTTTTGTGCCAGGAACAAGGAATCTGCTCAACAGTTTTTTAACTCTGTTATACCTCAGCCTCAAAATGGAGGTTTTGTTAGCCAATCAATAGTCATTCAGTCTCCCTAGATCAGATTATCAGGTTTGGCAGCTAAGACTTGACTGAGAACCTGGGGAATACTGCCCAAAGCCATATTAAGAAGCTCCTAGGAGATGATTCACAGACGCATTATCTTTTAAATAGTTCATATTCATTTTGATGCAAATTCAAATGGATTTAAATAGCACAGTAACCTACAACAACATGCTAAATTTGCTTCTACTGAAGCAAAGAGAGGAGTGTAATTGCTAACAGAATATGTGAAAGAAATAATAAAAGAGATGTCATGAAGTATTAGACCCTCCAGCACTTGAACTCCTGACACCCAGAGTTGCCTAAGTAAGACCTTCTGTCTGCCTGGATTATATAACTCTGAATTCCATCCAGAAATCTCAGCTTCTGCAGGGGCTGGTGAGATAGCACAACGGGTCATTTACCGGGTTCGATCCAGAGCACCCAGTGCAAAGGCAGGAGTAAGCTCTGAGCATAGCTGTGTGTGGCCCCCAAACAAACAAATAAATAAAAGCCTCCGGACCCTTGGAATTAGTTAGTCCTTCGGGTCTCTGGTCCAATAAACTAATTCAATCAAGATAGTTTTCCTGTACTTCACAGAGGGCCTGAATGACATTGACCAATGATTTATAAAGAAGGTTATTTGGAATTAGAGGTGGTTTGCAGACTAGTCCTGTTCAAACAGGATTGGCTAGAAAGAAATTCAAGGGTATGTATTTAAGCAGATGTCAGTCCACCGGTGTCCAGGCGCTGACTCCAGGCCCTCACTGGCCAGGCCAGCTTCTACCACTGAGCCCAGGAGTGAGTTGCTTAATTCACAGTGGGATCAAGTAACTGTGTGGCTTTCCTAATGTTTCTCTTTATGTTGGCCAGTGTTTGATCTTGCATTTTCTTTCAGACCGCTTCTTTTCTTTTTTTTTTCTTTTTGAGTCACACCCGGCGATGCACAGGGATTACTCCTGGCTCATGCACTCAGGAATTACTCCTGGCGGTGCTCAGGGGGACCATATGGATGCAGGGAATCGAATCCGGGTCGGCCGCGTGCAAGGCAAACGCCCTACCCGCTGTCCTATCTCTCCAGCCCCAAGACCGCTTATTTTCTTTACACCTCTGAACAGGTTCTCCCCTTCAATCCAAAAGTAAAACCAGTCGTACAGAACATTTCATAAGCTTATATAGAATAAAGTGAAGGTGTGATTATGAGTAATTTACATGGAGATGCTTTTGAGAGTTCCCAAATAAAACTAATGGCCAAATTATACCAGAGAACACATAAAACATAAAATAGCTCTAATGGTAGTATAAGCAAGAATGCCTGAGGGTCAAGTTCTTGGTGGTAACTCTGCTTCTTGGGAACAGGGGAAGAGAAAGGTAGAATGGCTATAAAGCAAGTGCTAAGTATGATTTTTGCTTTCAATCCCTTTTTTCCCTAAAACTGAAACTCCTTTTCAAGTTCTTTCTTTCTTTTTTTTCCCCTTTCCTTTTTGTGTCATACCCTCTGATGATCAAGGGTGCTATTGCTGCAGCTCCTTTCTCTCTCTCTCTCTCTATCTCTCTCTCTCTCTCTCTCTCTCTCTCCCTCTCTCTGGTAAAAAGCAAACTGGCATATCTCAGCATTTCAAAAAGCCAGGGATACCTTTATTTTTCTAAACCTAATGTTAACCTGCTAATAATTATAGCACAAACAAGAGTCATAAACATGTCTGTGATCCCAGCAACCCTTAGCATACAACTCTAGAGGTGGTGAGCTGAAGAAATTAAATTGTGCAATTGAAATCACTTTCCCAACAACCCATGTTACCCATTACCTCCTCCTCCTCCTCCTCTCCTCCTTCTCATTCTCTTCCTCCTCCTCCTCCTCTCCTCCTCCTCATTCTCTTTTTCCTCTTCCTCTTCTCCTCCTCCTCCCCTCCTCCTCATTCTCTTCTTCCTCCTCTTCTTCTCCTCCTCCTCTCCTCCCCCTCCTTCTCTCCTCCTCCTCTTCTCCTCCTCCTCCTCTTCCTCCTCCTTCTCTCCTCTTCTTCCTCTTCTTCCTCCATATGAGGTTGATTATGAGGCAGGAGGTCTAGTACAAGCCCGGAGACACTTGCCTTGCCCACTGCTGACTCTGGCTGGATTCCCCACCACCACATTCGGTTCCCTGAAACCGCGCCAGTACTGACCCAGAATGCAGAGCCAGCAGTAAGTCCTGAGCACAAACAGAACAAAAGAAAAAAGAAAAAGAAAAAAAGAGATTGATCGTTCGGTTGACTGGTTAGTCGCTTGCCCCTCCAGCGCAGGCGCAGTGCGAGAACGTGGCTAACCCTGTCTGAAGACTCCGTGTTGGGGCCAGAAGCTGCGGTGCCACACCTGCCTGCGTTGTCTCTGCGCACCAGGGTCACCCTCAGCCCTCCCCTTTGCCAGCCCTTCCTGTCCAGCTCCCAGAGGTTGATTTATTAGACAACTACTAGGTGACTCCCCAAGGAGGGACCTCCCTCGGACCCCATGTAAAGTTTGCATATTAGGCTTTCCAGTCTCCCCCGCTCTTGCGGACACACTTACCCTAGAGCTCTCTCTCTAGGAAAAGCCCTACGTGAGATCTGTTACAAAACTCAGGAGAACATAATTTCAGCAGACATTTCCCAGCGCTGTCTCCCAGGCTGCGCATGGATTTCATCCTTTCATCCGGTACCTGAGTGCAAGATGCTCGGTTCTGTTTCATCTAGGCGAGCCTGTGATACCTCTCCAAAGAAAAGGGGGGGGGGGGGCGTTGTAAGAGACTCCAGATGGGCGCAGAATTGAAAGGAAAATTTTTTAAGAACGGATACCTCTTTTTATCTAAAAAGAGGAGAGAGAGGGAGAGAGGGAGAGGGAGAGAGAGAGAGAGAGAGAGAGAGAGAGAGAGAGAGAGAGAGAGAGAGAAGGAGAAAGTGTCTGCCATAGAACCATAGAGGCAGGTTGGGGGTGGGAATGGCTGGAGGGAACTGGGGTCATTGGTGGTGGGAAATGGACACTGGTGGAGGAACGAGTGTTGGATCAGTGGATGTCTGTAACCTGATCATGAACAGCTTTGTAACTATCATCTCAGGGTCACTCAATTAAAAAAATCATAAAGTACAAACATAAATAAAATTTCCTAGCAGGGATTTCAGAAATAAAGGAGCCCCCTGCAGCCCTGCAGCGCCACCGTTTGCCTACTTCTGCCAGGCAGGAAGATTTCCAAGCAAAAGAAAAAAAAAAGCAAAGTTGAGGGGCGCAAAGGAGTGGGGGCGCGCTAAAGCCCGTTAGGAAGAGGTTTTGCAAGGAATGCGACTGCAAGGAGAGGAAAGGGAAAGGGAATTGGGAAAGAGAACCCCGGGATACTAACTCCCCCGCGTGGAGGGGGAATGGGAGGGCCGGGGAAATGAGCCTGGAAAAGGGGTGGGGGGCTGGGGGAAATGGGCCTTGGAGGGGGCGGAGACTGGAGTCGCCCCGCCCCCCAGGGCGGGGCCAACGCCCCGCGCTAGCTCTTAAAGGGAGCCTCGGGGGAGCCGGCGGTCGCGGTGCAGGGTGGCAGCAGGCCAGAGGCGAGATGAGCCGGGTACCCGTGTTCCTGAGCGCGGCCGAGGTGCAGCGTCACCTCCGCAGCTGCAGTCTCCTCATCCCGCCCCTGGAGGCGGCTCTGGCCAACTTCTCCAGCGGCCCCGACGGCGGGGTGGTGCAGCCCGTACGTACCGTGGTGCCGGTGGCCAAGCACAGAGGGTGAGTGACCTGGTCACTGGGCTCCGGAGGGTGGAGACACGGAAAAGAAGGAGGAGGAGGAGGAGGAGGACTGCGAAGGGAAGCGGGAAGAGGCAAAGGCTAAGGATTAGACCTGGGGCGGGGAGGGAGGGGGTGCAGAACAAAAGCAAACCCAGCTGCCTCGGCGTCTTATTTCTAACCCATCCCTGGTGCCAACTTCATCTTTACGCGAGCTCCCTTATTGCATTCAGGGCTGTCGCCGGGGGAGTAATCGGTGATGCTCGGGGCCGCTCTCTAAGGAGCTGGCCAGATAACCTAAGGGAAGGACTGCGCGATGTTGGGGTGCCGGCCAACGGGGCAGTGCTAAAGGGTGCCCCAGCCTTGGTGAAAGCGTTGCAACTGCTCTCTCTCTCTCTCTCCCTCTCTCTCTCTCTCTCTCCCCCCTCTCTCTCTCTCTAGTTTCCTGGGGGTCATGCCCGCCTACAGCGCAGCAGAGGACGCTCTGACCACCAAGCTGGTCACCTTCTACGAGGGCCTCAGCCACACGTCCACCGTCCCCTCCCACCAGGCCACTGTGCTGCTCTTTGAGCCCAGCAACGGCTCCCTTCTGGCGGTGAGCGACCCTTGCCCTGGGGGGGGGGGGGGGGTTGGCGGGGAGCGGGCCCAGAACTGGACCCAGGAGTTAGTTCTTGGGACCAGGAGTTTTAATTGTGAGCGACAGGTGCCCCTCATAGGACCGGTGACGGTCTCGGTGACTGTGTGTCTTGCTAGGCTGCCTTCCTGGGCTGGAGAGCCTGCCTGCTGCTGCCACAAGTCTGTGACGGGTGAAAATTATAATCTCATGCTTCCAGGGGCTGCTCTCCTTGTAGCAGGTCCCCAGAGAGACTGCTTAACAGACTTGAAAGTTAAGAAAAAACGTTTGTAGGGACTCTGCACTATGGAAGAAGTAGGGTGTTCTGTAATCCCTGAGGGTCTTGTCCGTGGGGTATAGTATAGAAACAGCAAACGGGCTGGAGCCATAGATTGCACACTAGAGAGGGCATTTGCTTTATGCATGGCCAAGCCGGGTTCAATCCCCAGCATCCCTTATGATCTGTGCATGGTCGAAAGTAATTCCTGAGCCAAGAGTAATCCTGGAGCATTGTTAGGTGTGGCCCCAAACAAATAAACAATCCAAAAAAAAAAAAAAAAACCCAGGGGCTGGAGCTATAGCACAGCGGGTAGAATGGGTAGGCATTTGCCTTGCATGCAGCCGACCCAGGTTCGACTCCCAGCATCCCATATGGTCCCCTGAGCACCGCCAGGAGAGATTCCTGAGGGCAGAGCCAGAGTATTGTGGGTGTGACCCAAAAAGAAAAAAAAACAATAATAGCATTGAAAAACACCAATAGCTTCCTTTTTTCTTCTTCTTAAATTTTTATTAGTGAAACACCATGAGATACAGTTGTAGAACTTACAAATTTTTGTGCTTGGGTTTCAGTTGTACAATGATCAAATACCCATCCCTCCACCAGTGCCCATTCTCCATCACCACCAGTCCCAGTATCCCTCCCTCCCCCCATCCCCCCATCCCACCCTACCTCTGTGGCAGGGCATTCCCTTTTGTTATCTTTCTCATTTTGAGTGGGCTGGAGCGATAGCACAGCGGTAGGGCGTTCGCCTTACATGCGGCCAACATGGCCGACCCGAGTTCGATTCCTCCGCCCCTCTCGGAGAGCCCGGCAAGCTACCGAGAGTATTCGATATGCCAGACACAGTAACAACAACGTCTCCAATGGAGACGTTACTGGGCCTGCTCGAGCAAATCGATGATCAACGGGAGGGCCTTTACCTTTACCTTTACCTCATTTTGAGTGCTGTGGTTTGCAAAAGAGACATTGAGTGGCAATCTTATTCGGTCTATAGTCTACCCTCATCATGCATTTCCCATCCTGAGAGGAACCTCCCAACACCCTTTATTTGGTGCTTCCTTCTCTATCTGAGCTGCCTTTTCCCCTAGCGTGTGCGGCTGTCCTCAAAGCCATGCAGTAATCCTCCTGGTACTTATCTTAGCTATTCTAGGGTGTTAGTCTCCTATTTTGTTACTTTATGTTCCCCAGATGAATGCAATCTTTCTATGTCTGTTCCTCTCTGACTCATTTCGCTTAGCATGATACTTTCTATGTAGTACCACTTGTATATGAATTTCATGACTTCATCTTTTCTAACAGCTGCATAGTACTCCATTGTGTACATGTACCAAAGTTTCTTTAACCAGTCATCTGTTCTCGGGCATTCAGTTTTTTTCCAGACTCTAGCTCCAATAGCTTGCATTTTATAAAGCCTTTTTATTTAATGTGTCAGGCACTGTTCTAAATACTTCACATGTATTAATTCTCCATACTTATCCCTTAGAGCTTAGTAATATTAATAGATATATTCTGACTCCCATTTTGCATTTGTGACAACATTCACAGAGCAGCTCTGCCCAGTTTACTATGGGTTTAAAAATCTGACATAAGGGGCTGGTGCAATAGTACAGTAGTAGGGCATCTGGGTTTGTTCCTCCACAACCCATACGATGCCCTGAGACCTCCAGAGCCTGAGTTCAGAGCCAGGGTAACCCCTGAGTACCTCTGGGTATGCCCCCAAAACCAAAGTAAATAAGTAAAGAGCTGACACAGAGCATGGCTGGACCTCAAACCTCCTCGTAGTATCAGAGCACTGCACTCTGTGTCCGGGCTTTCTCTCAGACCAGGCAGTTGGTCATCCCTGAGTGAATTGCCTTGATTCCATGTAAACCTTCCTGGGTCCTTAAATCTACCTTTCTCCCTTTCATTTCTGGCTTCCTGGGTGTCTATTCCTCACTCCTCTGGGAAGTTCCATGTTGCTTTTCTAGGAAGTACTGGGTGTTTGCTATGCTCATCCAATAGAGATGGCATCCAGACTGCCCATCAGAGCTAGTTCTCCTGTAAAGTGACACCACTGCAATTCTGGAACCTGTTCAGTAGTTAAACAATGCACATCCTTACCTGTAAACAACAAACCTGCCTCATAAGAATCAACTGAGATGAATTAACTTCTGAGCGGAAAACAGTACGAAGAATGGTGGTTACTATAAACTGGGCGGAATTCAGAATCCTCTGGGGGAGCTTTTGAAATCAGAATGGCTGTGGAGGCAGAGGGCTAGCACCTCAAATAAGGCAGGTGCCTTGCATGCAGCTGACCTAGGTTCCATCCCTGGCACCACATACGATTCCCTAAGACCCTGCCATGATCTCTGAACACAGAGCCTGAAATAAGCCCTGAGCATAGCCAGGTGTGCTTCCCCTTATCCCTCCCCCCCGAAACAGGATGACTGGTTTCTGCCATTTGAGGTTCAGATTCAGTTAATATAAAGGGTCAAATATCTTTCCAAAACTTCCTGCCTGTATGGCAGGAAGTAAGTGCGCCTGAGGTAGAGTTTCGGGGCCAGGTACAGTGCCAGCTGATTTACCCCAGTTGCTTATGCTTCATCCTCATTTGGTGTTTTGAGAATGCAAACGCAAGAAAAAAAAGAGGAAATTATTTTTAAATTATTTGTTATTGAAGTAACACTAAAACCATAGCAAGTTTTAGGTTGCACCATTATAAAATGATGGAGATTAAATTTTCCACTAAAAGTCCAATTCTCCCTTTTGTCCTATTCACCCATCCCTTACCCTTCCTTCTCATCCTGGTATCCACTAACTTTGTCTGCTAGTCTACAAGTTTGTTCTGTTTGATTTAGTTCATCCATTTACTTGTTCACATATACATGAGTGAAATAAATACAGTGTCATTCTAACTTAAGTCTTTGTCATGTGCTGGATTTTCATAAAAGCCAGGCATATGATACTCACATAATCGCTGTGAATAAATAGCATAGTCTTTGTATTTACTGCTGAGGATTACAGGGTTTAGTCCAAGTCATATTCCTAAGAAGTGGATGAATGAGAGCTGGGTTGTTCATGCCCTTTCCTACAATTCTTCCCAGATCTCTCTTTTAGTTTCTCTTCACTTCATTGGTAGACAGGGGGAAGCCAGGCTCACCATCTCTCCTTCCCTTCCAGGTGATGGATGGAAACATCATAACAGCAAAGAGAACAGCTGCAGTGTCTGCTATTGCCACCAAGGTAAGATGAATGCTAACTGAGTCCGAAAGACAATTGCTGAGTGGGGTGAGATGGCTCAGGTTTGAGAGCCTAAGGAAGGGAGAAACTTATTTGGGTCTTCCTCTGGACATAACTAAAATTTCATCTGATGAATAGGGGATCTCGGGTGAGCTCAGTGATTCAAGAAATGTGCTTCCAATTCAGGTACCGTATTGCAGGTAATTGATGTGCGGTGCCCTGGGTTTTCTCAACAACTTTGCAAAGAAGGTACCATCTCCCTTTGCCACAAATAAGAAATGTGGCTCAGAAACTCTCTGAACTGCTCAGCATCACACAGATACTAAGTTGCAGGGCAAGAACTTCAAACCTGACTTTTCTGACCCTCAGAACTGCTTTTTGGGGGCTGGAGCGATAGTACAGCAGGTAGAGCATTTCTCTTGCACACGGATGACTGGGGTTTGATTCCTAGCATCCCATATGGTCCCTTGAGCACTGCCAGGAGTAATTCCCAAGTGCAAATCCAGGAGTAACCCCTGAGCATCGCTGGATGTGATCCCCCCTCAAAAAAGGAGAGAAAAAAAAGAACTGCGTCTTGTCTCCCTATAATGCTGCTCTTTTTAAATCCGTGTGATGCTCCGTAGGCCAGAACCCACAAAGGGCAAGAAGCAGAGGGGGAGCTAGACAGCCTGAGGCAGACTTGGGTGTTGTTTATTCAGTCAGGAAGGACTGAGAACCTCAAGCACTGTTGCAAATGTTGAAGATGTGGCACTACGCCCGAATGGCACACAGACACAAAAGATCCGCTGAGAAGTTGACATTTGATTAAAGACTAAATGAAATAATCGAAATATCCAGAAATGGGAGAGTACCCCCAGGTTAAAGCTAATAAGGAATGAAGGGGATGATGTGTCCTAAATGTTGGGGGCATCTTATAGGAGAGAGTACTTTTAGAAATTAGAGTGAAGAGGAGACTTAGAAAACTGAGGGTCTTTGGAAACAATATGAGTCTGGAATCTTTCACATTAAATAAATGAGTAACGAATCCGGAGTGATAGTTCAGTAGTGGATACGGCACACATCTGACCCAACTTCACCTCATACCATTCCTGGAGCCAGTAAGGAGTGATCCCTGAGTGTAGGAACAAGGAGTAAGCCCTGAACATAGCTGGGCATGGCCCCAAACAAAAACCAAACAAAACCATATCAGTATAAGGTCTGGAACACTAAACCTGAGATCTAATGGGAAGTTAGAGGAACAAAGATCAAGCGTTCAAACTGTGAGTATGTCTGTTTGAGTGTTGGGGTAAAATCTCAAATAATAATGGTGGGTCTGGTGTCAAAATATTGAATGTGATCAAAGTAGAGAGAGAGTAATGTGGAAATCAGCTGCCCCACAGGTAGGGGGAGGGTGTGGGATGGGGGCATACTGGGGTTGTTGGGGGTGGAGAATGGGCACCAGTGAAGGTATGGGTGTTTCATTGTATGACCGAGACTTAAACCCGAAAGCTTTGTAACTGCTCTCACGGTGATTCAATAAATAAAATTATAAAAAATTTTAAAAAGTAGGATGGAGTTCATGCACAATTCAATCAGCTAACCAGTGGCTGAATAAATAGCAGTATTCTACATAAAAAAATAAATAAATAAAATAAAATCATGCAGACTTAACTGGATTAGAATAGATTGCTTAATTTTTCTGGCCCTCAGTTTTTTCATCTGTAAGAGTAGGACTATGTAGCACATAGACCTTCAGAGGGGAAACTGAAATACAAATCGATACCGCTGTGATGCCCAAGAGAGTGTGAGGGTAGTAAAATAAAGGTAGGGCAAAGGTCAGCAGCTACTCACTGTACTTATTCTTCACCTAGGTGCTAGTGTTTTCTTTGACATTTTCCACTTCATTTCTTTCAAATAGTTTTTGAAACCTTCCAGCAGTGAAGTGCTGAGCATCCTTGGGGCTGGGGTCCAGGCCTACAGTCACTATGAGGTCTTCACAGAGCAGTTCTCTTTTAAGGAGGTAAGTCAGGGAGGGTGGGGGAGACGGGATAGACCAGCTACCTTTGTCGCTTCCTCTACAGCATGAGTATGCAGACAAGATTAAGTTCAGATATAATATAAACCTGAGGTTCCAAAAGTTATTTGGATTACTGTCCCCTTTTCTGAAAAAAAAAAAGTACTCAGTGTCATGCTTCCCTCCAGAAATCTACTTCCTTTGAACAAAGCACTCTTCGACTAACACCCAGGAATGGCTGAGATTAGTACCAGGAATTTTGCTCCATGACTTGAAGGCCAGCCACACATGCTAGGTGAAAAGGAAGCTCAGATAGAAAAGAGAGCACCAAATAAAGGGTGTTGTGAGGACCCTCCCAGGGTGGGAGAAGCATGCTAAAAGTAGTCTATAGACCAAACATGATTGCCACTCAATGCCTCTCTTGCAAAACACAGTACTCAAAAGAAGAGAGAGAGAACAACAGGGGGAATGCCCTGACACAGAGGCAGGGTGAGACGGGGGGGGGGGGGGGGGGGGGGGGGGGGGGATGGGGGGTGGGAGGAATGCTGGGACCCGGGGTGGTGGAGGATGGGCACTGGTGGAGGGATGGGTACTTGATCATTGTATAACTGAAATCCAAGCACAAAAATTTATAAGTCTATAACTGTACCTCATGATGTTGCACTAATAAAAAATAAAAATTAAAAATAAATAAATAAATTTAAAAAATAAAAAAAAGCACTCCTCTGGATCTTTCCATCACTACCACAGGGAAAAGGCAGGCAGGTGGGCAATGCCATGCAGTTTTTGGAACAATTGCTCTAGACCTTTCTTTAAAAAAAATTAATGCACCATGATTTACAAAGTTATTCATAGTAGGGTTTGGACATACTATGTTCCAGCACCAATCCCACCATCAGTGTATACTTCTTCCCACCAGGTGTCCCAAATTCCCTCCCACCCAAACCCAGCCTGCCACCTTGACAGAGTTCAGATGTTGAAGTTTGGATCTTTGGTTTTCAGTGTTGTTGGTTGACTCAGCGGTTTGGATATTTCATTGTACCACTCTTTTACACCACTAGAACAGTACTAGAACCACTGATTCCTGCCTGCCTCTTCTTCTCCCCTCAATTTCTTTCTTTCTCTGCACTTCTCCTCCCTATAATCTGAGACCAAGGGTAATTGAGGTGTTCCCCTTTTAAAACATTGCATGCCCTTGTTCAGTTATTCACTGTACCACATGTAAGAGAGCTCAGACTTTGTTTGCTTCTTCTGCTTACTTCATTGAACATATCATCCAGTTCTATCCATGTTGCAGTGAATTGCGTGATTTTGTCTTTTCTTAGAGGTGTGTAGTAGTTCATTGTGTATATATACCTCATCTTCAAGATATGCTTTTCTGTAGTTGGAGACTTTGATTGATTCCATTTCTTGACTATTATACTAAATGCTGCAATGAATAATGATGGGAATATATCTTTTTTATTAATGTTTTTGTGTCCTGGAGGTGGATGCACACAGAAATAGAGTTGGGTCATATGGCAGCTCAATTTTTAGTTTACTGAAATATCTCATCTCCATACTCCTTTTCATAAAGATTAAACCAGGCAACATTCCCATAAGCTCTGGATGAGAGTTGTTCCTAGTATTTTTTTTTGTACCCAGTTTTTTAAATTAATTTTTAAAAAAATTTTCAATGAATCACTGTGAGGTACAGTTACAGATTTACAAACTTTTGTGCTTACATTCCAGTCATACAATGATCCAGTATCCATCCCTCCACAAGTGCCCATTTTCCAACACGAATGATCCCAGTATCCCTCCCACCCTCCCCACCCCATCCTCCTACTGCACCCCACCACAGTGGCAGGGCATTCCCTTTTGCTCTCTATCTCTCTTTTTGGGTGTTGTGGTTTATAATAAAGGTATTGAGTGGCCATCATGATCGGTCTAAAGTCTACTTTCAGCACACATCTCCCATCCGGAGCAGGCTCTCCAACCACCCTTTACTTGGTGGTCCCTTCACTATATGAGCGACCTTTTCCCCCAGCATGTGAGGCCAGCTTCCAAGCCATGGTACTCATCTCATCAAGCCTGGTACTCATCTCTACTATTCTTGGGTGTAAGTCTCCCATTCTGTTGCTTTATTTTCCACAAATAAGTGCAATCTTTCTATGTCTGTCCCTTTCTTTCTGACTCATTTCACTTAACATAATACTTCCCATGTTATACAAATTTCCACTTGTATGCAAATTTCTTGACTTCATCTTTTCTAACAGCTGCATAGTATTCTGTTGTGTAGATTGTACCCAATATTTTTGATGGATGCCAAATTCACTGATGAAAGATGGTATTTCATTGTTGCTTTGATTTCCCTAATGATAAGTGATGATGAGCATTTTCGTCATGTGCCTTTTGGCCTTAAATTGGTCCTCCTTAGAGCAGTCCCTGTTAATTTCCAGCACCCATATTTGATGTTTTTTTGGACTTTTTTTTGTTGTTGTTGTTGGTCTTTGTGAGTACTTTATATATCCTGGGTATTAGGATATCAACCCTTTATCTGATATGTTGAATGCAAATATTTTCTCCCATTCAGTTAGCCATTGGTTAGTCTTAGACCATGTTTCTTTTGCATGAAGAAACTCCTTAATTTAATGTGAGACTTTCCTTTTAATGGGTTGCCCACCGCTAACCCCCTTTGAGCTGAAGGATTAGGGGAAGGTTTGAATACCCCATGTGCAGTTTTTCAGTTCAGAGAGTATGCTTGAGGGTACAGAAAGTTTGCTCAAAAGGATATTATATCAATTCTGTCTGTCTTCTTGTCCCTTGTGTCCCATTGTATGCTACTCTGAGTAAAACCAAAAATCTTTAAGAATTGAGGGTTATGGATCTAGAAGCTAGGCTGGAGGGATAGCACAGCAGTAGGGCATTTGCCTTGCTCGCAGCCAGCCCAGCTGAGCCGGGTCCAATTCCTCCGCTCCTCTTAGAGAGCCCGGCAAGCTACCGAGAGTATCTCACCTGCACGGAAAAGCCTGGCAAGCTACCCATGACGTATTCAATATGCCAAACACAATCATGACAAGTCTCAAAATGGAGACGTTACTGGGCCCGCTCGAGCAAATCGATGAACAACGGGAGGACAGTGTTTGTTTGTTTGGATCTAGAAGCTAGGACAAAGCCTTAGGAGGGCGGCAGACCACAGGACCGGCCTTCTGCAGCCTCGATGCTGGTCTAGCTTCTTCCAATCATAGCTAATGTGTTCTCCTAAAATAGTAAAGTATGCCTTTTATTTTTGTATGTGTATGAGAGAAATAGGGCATATTTAAAGTATGCCTTTTATGATTAAAAATAACACCTTGGGGGGCTGGAGCATAGCACGTTGGATAAGGCATTTGCCTTGCATGCGGTAAACCTGGGTTCGATTCCCAGCATCCCATATGGTCCCCTGAGCACCGCAGGGAGTAATTCCTGAGTGCATGAGCCAGGAGTAACCCCTGTGCATTGCCAGGTGTGACCCCAAAAGCAAAAAATAAATAAAAAATAAATAATACCTTGACCTTGGGAAATGTATACTCTAAGGAAGAAAAACAGAAGGAAAAAATGCCTGTTTATCAGCTTTCAAAGACAGTTAACATTTTCCACTCTCTTATCATCAAGTGTGAGTTGATCCTGACTTTGTCCAGTTAGCATTTGCATTTTCCAAATATGAAAACTCAGGCTGAAAGACTCTAAGTAACTTCAGAAGCAGCAAAGGACAAAACAAGGATAGATTCTAAGCCTGACTAGTTCTAGAACTTGCTGTGCTAATCATTAAATTATAGGGTAGGTATTAAGCAACTGAAGTTAATCCCAGGCTAGAAATGAAAAACTTTCCTAATTTTTATTTATTTTTTAGTTTGGGGACCACATCTGGCAGTTCTCAAGACTTACTCCTGGCTCTGTGCTCAGAGATCACTCCTGGTGGGGCTCAGGAGACAATATGGGGTACCAGGGATCAAATCTGGGTCAGCCAAGTGCAAGGCAAATGCCCTACCTGCTGTACTAGCTCAAAAGCAAAACTTCTCTATTGAAAGGGTAGAGATTTTCTCTACCCTTTCTTTTTTTTTTTTTTTTTTTGCTTTTTGGGTCACACTGAGCAATGCACAGGGGTTACTCCTGGTTCATGAATTCAGGAATTACTCCTGGCCATGCTCAGGGGACCCTATGGAATGCTGGGAATCAAACCTGGGTCGGGCCGTGTGCAAGACAAACTCCCTACACTCTGTGCTATCACTCCAGCTCCAATACCCTTTCTTACTCTATTGAAAGGGTAGAGAAAGTCATTTTTAAATATCAGAGAAGGTGTCTTCCCAAATTAATGCTGTGTCCCTGAGCAAATGTCTGTTCTCCATAGAGAATGACTAAAATAATCACAGTCCTTGCTCCAGAGTGGTTTGAATTTCAAATGGAATTCAGGCTCAAACTGGACTTGATGCAACATGCAAAGTCAAACAATCATGAAGCCAATGTCCCCCTTGTTTTCGAACGAAGGTGAGAATATGGAATCGCACCAGAGAAAATGCAAAGAAATTTGCGGACACTGTGGAAGGAGAGGTACGGATCTGTTCATCAGTCCAAGAGGCCGTGGCAGATGCAGATGTGATCATAACAGTCACCATGGCAACAGAGCCCATTTTGTTTGGTAAATGGGTGAAACCAGGGGCACACATCAATGGTAAGCAGAATGGTTCCTTGAACCCCGGGTAAGTGGAGGCCCAACCCATCCCTAGGCGGAACCAAGGGGTGGCATTTCCAGAGTTGTTTCATGTACATTATAAAGAATGTTTTAGGGCCTTGGAAATATGTGAACCCTGAAAAATAGTATTCTCTCCAAACTATGGAATGAACATCACAAATTGAAACTGGAAGTTTAATTACAGTTCTATAAAATGCAGCATTGTAGTTATAGCACAGTTCTTTTTTTGCCAGTGGGCGCAGGAAGTATGTGTGTAGGGGGGAAGGGAAAGGAGGGTTTTGAGTATCTAGGCCTTACCTAGCAGTGCTCCGGGGCTCCTCCTGGATCCTACTCCTGGATCTCTGCTCAGTGGGTCCCATGCAGTACCAAGCACTGAACATGAGTTGGCAGCATGCAAGGCAAGCAGACGCGTTACCTCCTGTACAATCCTGTCCTATCCCTTCAACCCCACAGTTCAGTTCTCAAATCACTGGCTTATTTATTATTTAAAAAAACTGAAGAATTTTTAAATTTTTTAATTATAGCATAAAAGACACTTTAATATGATGCATGAATGTTTTTAACTGTGTGTGATAGAGGGACTTTTTTTTTTTTCATTTTGGGCCACACTTAGCCATGCTCAAGGTCTCCTCCTGACTCTGCACTCAGTGATCATTCCTGGTTATTCTTAGGGAGCATATAGGGAACCAGGGATCAAGTCCAGATCAGCAACATGCAAGACAAATTCCCCAGCCACTACTGGCCCCATGTGAGAGAGACTTTATTTTCTTTTCTTTTTTTCTTTTTGGGTCACACCCAGCGATGCTCTGGGGTTATTCCTGGCACTGCACTCAGGAATTACTCCTGGTGGTGCTTGGGAGACCATATGAGATGCCTGGGATCGAACCGGGTTGGCTGCATGCAAGGCAAACACCCTACCCATTATAATATAGCTCCAACCACCTGAGAACGACATTATATTTTTTTTATGTAGGAGTACTGCTATTTATTCAGTCACTGAGTAACTGATTGAATTGGGCATGAACTCCACCTTACTTATTTTTTTTCATAATTTTGTTTATTTATTTTTTCTTATATTTACTTATTGAATCACTGTGGGAAAAGTTACAAAGCTTTCAGGTTTAAGTCTTGGTCATACAATGATCAAACACCTTTCCTTTCACCAGTACTCATTTTTCACCACCAAGAACTCCAATATACCCCCTTCTCACCCCTCCCAATGCCTGTGAGGCAGATGATTTCACCTTAACTCTTCTCTACATTGATTACATTCATTATTTTGACAAAAAATGCACCATTATTGTTTAGAATTTCTCCCCCAACAATCAGAATTGCTGAAAAGGCATTGTGAAAACTTTGTTTTCTATAGCTGGTTATGAGAATCATATAATGTCATACAGCCACAATAGCGACTGCGCAATTTTGGAATTCTGCCAAGAGCCAGATAATTACGAGATTGGTTTCTGTGCGTCTGGTGTTATGGCCATGCCAGAGAGCCGCTCATGGGGGGCAACTCATGACCTCAGTAGGGCCTGAGGGATGAGCCGGTACTGCCCCCTTTCCATGAGACTGCAGTTGCCCCATCACCACCAGCTCATACCTGGCTTTCCTATATTCTCTGAGGTGGTGGCCACCTTGCTGCCAGGGGGGAAAAAGGCAGAAGGGAGCAACACTCTTTCTCTCCCGGGGATGCATGGTGCTGTACTTTAACTCATTGTCCATTCACTTTTCTGCCACAAGCTGCTGGGCTCTGGATTAAGTCCTTTTGCCTTTGGAGCCATGGCTGTGCCAGAGAGCTGCTCATGGGGGGCAACTCATGACCTCGGTAGGGCTTGAAGGACAAACCAGTACTGCCCCCCTTCCCATGAGACTGCAGTTGCCCCGTCACCGCCAGCTCATACCTGACTTTCCTATAAGCTCTGAGGCGGCGGCCACCTTGTATGCAGTTCAGATGCATTTCTGCCAAAAGCCGCTGGATTTCGAGATTTGTTTCTGAGTCTCTGGGATTATGGCCATTAAGCAGCTTGATCAGGAGCCAGAGAGGATGTTTGTAGGTGGCGACTCGGAGTCTCATTGGGATGGGGAGGAGAGGGCCAATTCCACCCCCATCTGGTGGGCCCCGTGTGTCTCATCACTGCAGGCCCAAACCTGTCCAGTGGCCTCTGGAGGATGGCGGTCACTGGGCTGCCAGGGGGAACAGGCCAAGGCACAAAACCTATTCCCACCAGGAGTGGCCCAGCACCAGTAACCTACTGCAGGAACAGGATGCGTTTCTGCCAAAAGCCATTGGGTTCCGAGATTCGTTTCTGAGTCTCTGGGATCATGGCCGTTAAGCAGTTCGATCAGGAACCAGACAGGCCATGCCTTCAGTTATATAGCTGAGCTGAAGTTTGGTTTGTGGGTGTGTCTCCCACATACCTAACTTTTGGCCGTTTCCTTTCTTGGTAAACTTCGCCCCAAGTTTTCGGGGTCTGGCCAAAGGCACGGCAGCAATTTTGAGGCATCTGAAAGTCTGACGGTGCCATCAGGCTGCTGATGCACTCACCTCACAGGTACAGATTGACCTGCTGGAGGCTCCATACCCCCTGAGAGTGACTTTAAACAAAAGACTTCCTGTGGCTCTTCAAGTGGCCCTGCAGGTTGTAGCAAGAACTTGCATCATTAAATACTACCATTTTAGATGCTAATCAGAATTCTCTATGTGTATCATCTCATTCCCATTCATATGAGGTAAACACTATTGTTATCATGACCCCTATCTGTGGGTCAATTTAGGCATGGCGATAGATATTAATTTGCCCAAAGTCAGATTTTCTTAGTAGCAGATCTGGAATTTGAACTGAATAATCCTAGTTCCTCATAACCCAAATTCTTAAATAATACTCCTTATTATCTTTGGAGAAGAATTCTGCATTCTGGCGAGTGAACAGGCAAAGACGAGAGGATTTTAACATGTTTTTGGTACCCCATGTTTTAGTGACAAACACACAGTGTGAATTCAAAACCTAAGATCTCTGTACACATTGGCAGATGAGCAGGCAAGAGCCAAGTATTGTGACTACATATTCATTCACAAATGTTTATTGAATCCCTGAAATGTGCCAGGCATTGTTCTAGACCCTGGCGATGCCACCAAAGCATAGCACTCAGGGTCCCTCTTTCATTCCTGACACTTATGCTCTTAAGGAAAGAGAAACAAATAGATTTTTTAATTTTTTTAAGGGGGGGGGAGTCACAATCAGCAATGCTCAGGGGTTACTCCTGGCTCTGCATTCAGGAATTACTCCTGGTGGTGCTCGGGGGACCATATGGGATGCTGGGATTCGAACCCGGGTTGGCCAAGTGCAAGGCATCGCCCTACCCATTGTGCAATTGTTCCAGCCCCAAATAGATTGTTTTAGCTAGAGATAAGTTCTGTGAAGGAATCAAAACCTGACATATTTGAGGAATGAGACAATGCAAGTTCAATCTTTGTGTACCTGATGTTCAGATACGGGTCCAAAACTGTAAAGGAGCAACAAATGGCCAAAGGCAGCATAACTGAAGAGCTGGTCTCCAGAAATTATTTTATGGACATAGAGAATGGGACAGAAGGGGCCTTTATGGGACCTTAGTGGAGGGAAGTGGCTACTCGGTGGTGTTGAATTGGTGTATACATGAAACTACCATTAACATTATTATAAATCATAATCATATGTGCTGCTCACCTTGGAAGCACATATACTAAAATTGGAACAATACAGAGAAGATTATCAGGGCCCATGTGCAAGGATGACATGCAAATTTGTGAAGCGTTCCATAATTTTGTGGGCTGGAGTGATAGCACAGTGGGTAGGGTGTTTGCCTTGCACACAACCAACCTGGGTTCAATTCCTGCGTCCCTCTCGAAGAGTCCAGCAAGCTACCAAGAGTCTCCTGTCCGCACATCAGAGTCTGGCAAGCTCCCCGTGCTGTATTCACTATGCTAAAAACAACAAACCTCACAATTGGAGATGTTACTGGTGCCCGTTCAAGCAAATCAATGAACAATGGGAGGACATTGCTACAGTGCATAAATCATAAGAACTCAGCAAAGATAAATATGGTTTTAAAGGTCTATATCCGGTGGGAGGTGAGAAGTGACTTTGGACAGGTGAGAGATGTGTCTGGTCCATATTTCTGGATAGTACAAACCCTTACCTGGAAGGACTTTGAGAAATCAAAACCTCTAAGTGAAATAGACCAGAACAGAAACTTCTGTTTGACTTGATTAGTTTTTTAGCTTAAAAAAGAGCATATTTATTATCTCATATTTCTGCGACTCAGTCTGTGGGCTGGGTTCTATGCGCCCAGAAGTATAAGGCATTTTCCAGTCTGTAACCTCACCTAGAGCTTCTTTTGTTTGGGAGGCCACACCTGGCAATGCTCAGGGGTCCCTTCTGCCTCTGCACTCAGAAATTACTCCTGGCATTCCTGGCGGTTCTAGGCAAGAGGGTGACAGGGGGACAGGGGGAGAGAGTGCAAATGGGATTCCAGGGACGGAACCTGGGTCAACCCTGTGTGCAAGGTGAGCGTACTACCTGCAGTGCTATCTCTCCAGCCCTTGGTCTTTGAGACTCTTCCAGGCTCTTGTGGCTATGGGAGGTTTCTTATATTAAAGAATTCAGGTGCTGGGGCTTTAGCAATAGCACAGCAGGTAGGGTGTTTGCCTTGCACACGGCCGACCTGGGTTCGATTCCCAGCATCCCATATTGTCCCCTGAACACTGCCAGGAGTAATTTCTGAGCGCAGAGCCAGTAGTAACCTCTGTACGTCGCCAGGTGTGACACCGCCCACCCCCCCCAAAAAAAAAAAACAAAATAAAACCAAAAACAAAACAAAACAAAAAAAAGAATTCAAGTGCCAGTTTCTGTGAATCCACTCTCAGCTCTTGAAGACAAACCCACTTTGCTTGTCACATCTTCTTAGCCATCGAGGGGAATTGTCCCTCCTGCAAGATTCCCCACCTGCCTCATCCCTTGTGTCTCAAATCTTTCCAGGAAGTGCTGAGATAGTCCCTGGCCTGCGGTCAAAATTGGATTCTATGTCCACAGAGGTGTCAAATAGACTTAAGGAAAGTGTGTTGCCAGGTGACCAGAAAACACCCTAAAACTTTTTTTTTAATTTAAAGCTTGGCTAAGCCCCAATTCCAGTGTCTCCTGGATTTTCTTGTCCTGCCCCTTTATTCCACTAGCCTGTCTCTGACCCTTCAAAGCACGGCCAAGGCGCAGTGTGAGTCCAGCCCTGCCCTCTGCTGCCTGGCCCGCAGCCAGGTGCCCTGACTGCTCTCCTACAGCTCTTCATGAACTTCCCTCGTTCAGAACCAGGAAAATTCTTCAATTAGAAGAGGTGGCCTGAGAAACTAATTTTTTCCCACCAGCTTTGATTTATTTGCAAGCCTCATTAGTTAGCATTTTTCCTGTATAGAACAAACCTCAAGATGGATAGTCGCCCCCACTCCCTTTGAAAATGAGAACAGCAGAAAGCAGGACAAGCGGAGATAGCTGGACGGCATATAAAAGCTGCCGCATGTTGGCATAAGGCTTCAGTGGGATTTCCAAAGACTGGTTGGCCCTGGACTGAATCCAGCCAGCAGATTTTTTTTTGGACCTTAACTTATTCTAAAAATCAATAAATAACACATGTAAATAGATGTCCCACTTCTCGCTTGTATACACAAATGGAGGTAGATGAGGGTGGATGGGCATTCTCTCTTGCAACAGGATGACTGTGTGGAGAAGGGGCTGCTTTCCTCTGGAGACCCCAGTCTCTCTGCTGTCCTGTCCCTCTGAGCAGCAGTGAGCATGTTCATCATGTGTGCGACCCTGTGGGAATTTGGTTATAATGTGTGCAATTTCTGTGGTTTTGTAGAAGGCATTCATCCTTGGATTTATCACTCTAGGAGAGAGTGAGTTTCCTTCTTTTTGGGCCTCTCTACGACCTTGATCTGAGCAATTTTGTCATGAGTTCATAGATTCTCTGTCCTGACTTTAGGAAAAAGGTGATTGTGGGTGGAGAATAGGAATGGTGAAAAGCCAAGAGAAGAGAGAGGGTTGTGCAGTCAGTACCAACAAGCTGTAATTTCTGTAACTTTTTTTTCTTTTTGGGTCACACCCAGTGATGCACAGGGGTTACGCCTGGCTCTGTACTCAGGAATCACTCCTGACAGTGCTTGGGGGACCCTATAGGATGCTAGGAATCCAACCCGGGTTGGCCGCGTGCAAGGCAAACGCTCTACCTGCTGTGCTATCACTTCAGCCCCCATTCCTCATGGTTTTGAGGGAACTTGACACTGCCAGCCCCAGTTCTGTCACTTTTAAAGGTTTTCGTAAGGAAGCAGCTGCCCCTGATGAGTAATTGTGAAAGACTCCAAGCCACCCATGTTCTGATTAAATATTTAACCCTGAGTGAGCACCTTTATTTCTTTGGTCTGTTACTATAGCTTTCAGATTGGAATCTGCCAGGAAGATAGCTCAGTGCCAGAGTCCATGATTCAAATACAAGCACTCTGGAGTTGGTCCCGTCCCCGCACTGAAGGGTCCTCTGAGCATCGCAGGGAGCAATTCCCAAGCACTACCCTAGGAGTAGTGATAGAGAGCTGGAGCGATAGCACAGTGGGTAGGGTGTCTGCCTTGCACGCAGCCAACATGGCCGACCCGAGTTCGATTCCTCCGCCCCTCTTGGAGAGCCCGGCAAGCTACCGAGAGTATTCGATATGCCAGACACAGTAACAACAAAGTCTCCAGTGGAGACGTTACTGGGCCCGCTTGAGCAAATCGATGATCAATGGGAGGGCCTTTACTTTTTTACTTTACCCTAGGAGTATCCCCTGGGCACCATCGACTGTGACCAAAAAAAAAAAAAAAAAAAAAAAAACGAAGTAAATAAGTGAAATGGGAATCAGACAAGAAGTTTACTTATGAGGTCTATACATGATCCTGTGAAACATCCCCCAGAAAGCAGGATAGCAGTGGCAGTTTCCCTCTAAACCATGAGGAATGGGGGCTGGAGTGATAGCACAGCGGGTAGGTCATTTGCCTTGCATACAGCCGACCTGGGTTTGATTCCCAGCATTGCATATGTTCCCCTGAGCACCGCCAGGAGTGATTCCTGAGTACAAAGCCAGGAGTAACCCCTGAGCATCACGGGGTGTGACCCAAAAAAGCAAAACTAACTAACTAAATAAATAAATAAAATGTGAGGAATGAGGTGGACTATGAAACAGGAAGTGGAAAGGGAAAAGTGGCAGATAGAAGATAGCCAACGGTTCAGTATTTCTGATTAGCTGGGAGTTGGCCCAGGAAAAGGAGGTGTTCTTAATCTGTTTCAGTCATGCTCACCCCCATCCTCTCCCCTTCACCATCCCACCTCCCTTCATTTCTTTGGTATATTTGGAATCCCCTGCAAGTACTCCTCAGCTTTGGTCTTTTGTGCTGTTTCTTAGCCGTTGGAGCCAGTAGACCAGACTGGAGAGAAATGGATGATGAGCTCATAAACCACGCGGTGCTGTACGTGGATTCGAGGGAGGCCGCCCTGAAGGAGTCTGGAGACGTCCGCTTGTCGGGGGTGAGCCTCTGGGTGACCAGCTGCCCTGCTCCCTTTGCCTGTATCTCAGGGTTTCATGAATGTACCCTTCAGTTTGGCCCAATCTAGACCACAGCCCCCTTTGCTACCTTTTCTGGAGTTCCAACTCCTCGCTATCTCTCCATGCTTCGAAATCTGCTTTCCAGGATAATGGGGCCATGATGGTGAGAGTTATACAGCCTTCCCAGTCTGGATCAAAAAGTGTGGTTGGCCATAGTTTGGCCTTCTTTGAATCTTTTTTTATCAAGATATAGGAATAAAAAGGAAGCTGCCCAAAAGAGAGTTTAATAAGAACATACAGATTTCCGCATCAACACCAGGCCCTGGGAATACATTCCCCTGAACACAAACATGTATCTCTGAGTATCACAGAGGTAGAAGTTCTTCAAAAAGGACCCAGGAGAATCTGTTCCTTGAAATTTTCCCAGTTTTCATGGGGTAAAAGGTAAAGGTAAAGGCCCTCCCGTTGATCGTCGATTTGCTCGAGCGGGCCCAGTAACGTCTCCATTGGAGACTGTTGTTACTGTGTCTGGCATATCGAATACATCACGGGGAGCTTGCCAGGCTCTGCCTCGCGGGCGAGATACTCTCGGTAGCTTGCCAGGCTCTCCGAGAGGGGCGGAGGAATCGAACTCGGGTCGGCCATGTTGGCCGCTTGTAAGGCGAACGCCCTACCGCTGTGCTATCGCTCCAGCCCTTCATGGGGTATTAGATTTTTTCTGACTTATTCTTTTTTTTTTTGTATTTACTTCTCTTTATTAAAAATCTACATGTATTTTTTAATGAAGAATTCAATAAAAACATGCAACATGTTTAAAGCAGACAGGATTTTGAGGCAGACCTACATTTGAATGTGAGATCTAGTTGTATGATTAAATCAGTTTATTTCAGAGTCTTGACTTATTCATCTGTAAATAAGATATATTACTTATGTCACAGAGGGTACCGGAAGCATAAGAAGATAACTAGTATCTTCTTTGTGCCAAGCAATGCAAAACAGCAAGAGACGCAACAACAACAACAGAATCCTATTTAGTGTGCAGAATATAGTTGCTTATTCTTGTTGTTGTTGTGAAGTTTATTCTTTATTCAGTTCAGAGCTCTCTCTCCTGACTTCATGAGCTGGCTGCAAGCACACAGTAGCTTCGCATCCCAAGTCAGTGCTGTTCACTTTACAGGCAAAGATCTTTGCTGAGCTGGGAGAAGTGGTGAAGGGCACGAAGCCAGCGCATTGTGAGAAGACCACGGTGTTCAAGTCTTTGGGTAAGGGACATGGCTCCCCGAGCACAAATCTAACCAGAGTACCAAGTAGGCTTAGCACTATAGCACTGTCCTCCCGTTGTTCATTGATTTGCTCGAACTGGCACCAGTAACGTCTTCATTGTGTGACTTGTTGTTACTGTGTTTGGCATATCAAATACCTCACGGGTACCTTGCCAGGCTTTGCTGTGCGGGTGAGATATTCTCGGTAGCTTGCCGGGCTCTCTGAGAGGGGCGGAGGAATCAAACCCAGATCAGCCGGCTGGCTGCGTGCAAGTCAAAGACTCTACCACTGTGCCATCTCTTCAAGTAGGGTAAAGGAGAAAAAAGAAACGAGTCACCAGGATCTCTGTCTGAATTATTAGAGAAACCCATCATTCCTGTCAATGATTTACTTGTCTTAGCATAATGGGTAAGCTGGTGGACTCTGGAACTGGCAGTCCTACACTAAATTCCTGTACCTGCTACATCCTTCAGCCAAGTGACCACACCTCTTTAGCCATGGTTTCTTCACCACCTGTTACTTAGCATTTTTGTGGGACATAAGTAAAATCTGAGCTCCAGAGATAGTACAATCAGGAGGGCATTCACGGCCCACAAGGTCACCCACGTGCTGCCAGAAGTGATCCCTGAGCACCTCTGTGACACAAAGACCCAAATATGAATGAATTAATAAAATGATTTGCACGTAGCAGAAATCCAAAACTCATTCAGACTTCATCTAAATGAAACTCAGAAGAAACTATCCAGGAGGTCGAACGGGGATAAAAATGTAAAATAACAGAGAACTCAGAGAATGACATGGAAGCCTCAGCAGAGAGGGATGTCTAAGAAGCATATCCTGAGGTCTTTTATCTACCCTACCGCACTGTAAGAATTACTCCTGGAGGTGCTCATTGGACCATATTGGATGCTGGAGATTGAGACTGGGTCAGTCACATGCAGGACAAGTGCCCTACCCAATATACTACCTCTCCAGCCCCAAGGAAAAGTTTTATGATAATTACATAATTGAGGCGGGAAAAGCAAAAAAATGTTGTAATATGAAAATTATGCAAAAATCAGTCTTTCATATTCATAGTGTTATTGGCAGTTTTACCTGTAACTACAGCTATTTGTATTGCCCGCTTGTAATAAAGACCATAGGGGTTCCAAAGCATACAATATTTACATCTGACCCTTGCAGGAAATTGTTTTATGCCTTGAATATTCAAAGAACATTTAAATTTTGCTCAGTGAACATTTCTTTTTATTTTTTTTTATGTAGGAGTACTGCTATTTATTCAGCCACTGATTAGCTGATTGAATTGGACATGAACTCCACCTTACTTTTTTTTCCATAATTTTATTCATTTATTTTTTCTTCTTATATTTATTTATTGAATAACTGTGGGAAAAGTTACCAAGCTTTCAGGTTTAAGTCTCAGTCATACAATGATCAAACACCTTTCCCTTCACCAGTACTCATTTTTCACCACCAAGAACCCCAATATACCCCCTCCCACCCTTCCCAATGCCTGTGAGGCAGATGATTTCTACTTAACTTTTCTCTACATTGATTACATTCATTATTTTGACAAAAGATGCACCATTATTGTTTAGAATTTTCCCCCCAACAATCAGAATTGCTGAAAAGCATTGTGAAATACCTTGTTTTCTATAGCTGGTTATGAGAATTATATAATGATTTTGGGTTTCTGCAAAGAGCCAGATAATTACGAGATTGGTTTCTGTGTATCTGGTGTTATGGCTGTGCTGGAGAGCCACTCGTCGGGGGGCAACTCGTGACCTCGGTAGGGTGTGAAGGACGAGCCAGTACTGCCCCCCTTCCCATGAGATTGCAATTGCCCCATCACCACCGGCTCATACCTGGCTTTCCTATAAGCTCTGAGGCGGCGGCCACCTTGCTGGGGGCATGGGGGGGGGGAGGGAGGCAGAAGGGAGCAACACCCTTTCCCTCCCAGGGAGGCATCGCACCATACTTTAACACATGGTCCATTCACTTTTCTGCCACAAGCTGCCGGGCTCTGGATTAAGTCCTTTTGCCTCTGGAGCCATGGCCATGCCAGAGAGCTGCTCGTGGGGGACAACTCGTGACCTCAGTAGGGCATGAAGGAAAAGCCGGTACGGCCTCCCTTCCCATGAGACTGCAGTTGTCCCGTCACTGCCAGCTCATAACTGACTTTCCTATAAGCTCTGAGGTGGCGGCCACCTTGTATGCAGTTCAGATGCATTTCTGCCAAAAGCCGCTGGGTTTTGAGATTTGTTTCTGAGTCTCTGGGATTATGGCCATTAAGCAGCTTGATCAGGAGCCAGAGAGGTGGTGACTCAGGGTCTCATTGGGATGGGGAGGAAAGGGCCAATTCCACCCCCATCTGGTGAGGCCCCGCGTGTCTCATCACTTCAGGCCCAAACCTGACTGTCCAGTGGCCTCTGGAGGATGGCGGTCACCAGGCTGCCAGGGGGAACAGGCCAAGGCACAAAACCTATTCCCACCGGGAGTGTCCCAGCACCAGTAACCTACTGCAGGAACAGGATGAATTTCTGCCAAAAGTCTTTGGGTTCCAAGATTCATTTCTGAGTCTCTGGGATCATGGCCGTTAAGCAGTTCGATCAGGAACCAGACAGGCCATGCCTCCAATTATATAACTGAGCTGGAGGTGGTTTGTGGGTGTGTCTCCCACATACCTAACTTTTGACCGTTTCCTTTCTTGGTAAACTTTGCCCCAAGTTTTTGGGGTCTGGCCAAAGGCACAGCAGCAATTTTGGGGTATCTGAAAGTCTGACGGTTCTATCAGGCTGCTGATGCACTCACCTCACAGGTACAGATTGACCTGCTGGCAGCACCATACCCCCCCCCCCCTTCAGTGGACATTTCTTGCCTGGTATAATATTCCTTGCCTTGCCTGGCTCTTTTTTTTTCCTTTATGGGTCACACCCAGTGATGCACAGGGGTTACTCCTGGCTCTGCACTCAGGAATTACTCCTGGCAGTGCTCAGGGGACCAAATGGGATGCTGGAAATAGAACCTGGGTCATCCACATGCAAGGCAAATACCCTACCTGCTGTACTATTCCTCCGGCCCCTCGCCTGGCCCTTTGGAGACCCTCCAAACCTGAACTCACTTTGTGTATCAGTTCAAGGATATCATCTCTCTGGTAAGCATAAGCCACTTGGCTAATGCCTCAGGAAACTGCCAGTCCAGGGCCTGTGTTGTTTATGGGAAAGTGTTCTAACAAAAAGTGACTCCACTTTCTGTTTATTTTAGGAATGGCCGTGGAAGACATGGTGGCAGCCAAACTCGTGTACGATTCCTGGTCATCTAGCAAATAAACCAAGGGAATGCATGGCAGTGGGTACTGCAGCTAAAGTTATGTTGCCACATAAATCTCGGTGTCTTAACTCCAGAGAAGGATGCCAGTCTCTAGTGAACTGTCGTATTGTGCTAACCTTGTCTTGCCTTTAATAATGAGATCTGCACTTCTTTGTAGTTGAAAAGCAAAGCTAGGTGGCCATTTATTTCTGTTATATCAGATTATTGTAGCACACCCTTTCCCTTCTATTTCACTACCTTTTGTAATCCATTGAAATAAAGCATTTTCAGTTCTTGAGCTCTTGCACCCATACCATCTGTCATGGCAAAGAAAGTGAGGCAAACAGAACCTGCTATTCACCTCCTGGGTGAATTCTGATGACTATAATTAAGATTTTTATTTTTCAAATTGAGGTGCACACCATGGGCTGGAGCGATAGCACGGTGGTAGGGCATTTGCCTTGCGTGCAGCTGGTCCCGGCCGAGCCAGGTTCGATTCCTCCGCCCCTCTCGGAGAGTCCGGCAAGCTACTGAGAGTATCTCGCCCACACGGCAAAACCTGGCAAGCTCCCCGTGACGTATTCGATATGCCAGACACGGTAACAACAAAGTCTCCAATGGAGACGTTACTGGGCCCGCTCGAGCAAATCGATGAACAACGGGAGGACAGTGGACAATGCAGAGGTGCACACCATAGAATTAATTAGTTTAAAAGTAAAGTAAAAGTAAAGTAAAGGCCCTCCCATTGATCATCGATTTGCTCGAGCGGGCCCAGTAACGTCTCCATTGGAGACTTTGTTGTTACTGTGTTTGGCATATCGAATACATCACGGGGAGCTTGCCAGGCTCTGCCGTGCGGGCGAGATACTCTCGGTAGCTTGCCAGGCTCTCCGAGAGGGGCGGAGGAATCGAACTCGGGTTGGCCATGTTGGCTGCGTGCAAGGCAAACGCCCTAAATATATAACAATTTAACATTTGTCTAAAATAAACAATAAATAATATTTAATACATGGATCATAATTTGTTTTAAATATAAGTAATCTTGAATGTTTAGAACACTGATATAAGTTTTATAACATGACGTAAGCTTCTTCGCATAAGAATCTCTCCTCTGAGGAAGTGAAAGTTTCATAGGAAGACTCTTCACAATGAGATGATGACTCTCCAATTCAGTTGGGAAAGTGAATAGAGTGGTTTGTGCAGGAAAGGATAACGTTTTGGCCTTACTCAGTCTTTTTGATATCACTTTGGCCACCTCTACCCTGAGATGCTGTGTGGAACCTGAAATTAGTCAAATTAGTTAACATATCAGGATAACCTGCATTCTGCCTCCATGCACCTCTCTCCTCCAAACATAGGATGTTATTTATTTAACAATATGTCTTGAATATCTGCTGTTTGACAGTCTGTCACCTTGTATCTGGGTCCCCTGACTCAAGGCAGCAGGACAGGACCTGGCTTCTGTGATACATTATTGACCACAGGAGAGTTTCCAGGAGCAGGAATCTTTAGCCTTTTCTGTGCCCCAGTGTGGAAGATGCAAAATAATTCTATCTATTCATGTATTTTGAGACAATCTTTATGATAATTGCAGATGTACGTATCCTTTGAATGGGACAAAAAAAATGTTAAAGGTCGATGAGCTTATGGAGTCTATAAGCAGGAATATCCTAATAAAATCGGACTTCGTGCCAGGCTGTTTTCACTCGGGGCGCCCCAGAGCGGGGCAAGTGAGAGCCCTCTCCACCCCCAAGGGACCCAGCCTTGGCAGCCAACCTCCACTACCCAACCGTTGCCACACTCCAGGCTGCTTTCCAGATGCTCGGGCCGAGCCTCATGTGTGAACGAAGTCCCACAGTACCCAGGTAATAAGGAACTTTGTGGTCTTAGACTCTGGGCTCCACACATCGTAAGACACTTCCTACCCATTTTCCAGACATTAGGCAACAATATATATATATATATATATATATATATATATATATATATATATCGGAGAGCCCTGTAAGCTACTGAGAGTATCCCACCCACACAGGCAGAGTCTGGCAAGCTCCCCGTGGTGTATTTGATATGCCAAAAACAGTAATTATAACAGGTCTCATTCCCTTGACCCTGAAAGAGCCTCCAATCATTGGGAAAGAGGAGTAAGGAGAGGCTGCTAAAATCTCAGGGCTGGGATAGAGACGTTACTAGCGCCCACTCGAGTAAACTGATCATCAGTAATGACAGTATGACAGTAATACAATGATACAGTGATCCTAATAAAAATGAAATGTAACTTAAAAAATGCATACTTCTAACAGCCTATTTCTAGCCTCACAGAGATAAAATAAAGGATTGTGTTTGCTCCGTCTTTCTAAAATTATTTATTTATTTAGCCACTGTGATTATTGGTGATTGAGTTTTTTATTATTCACGATTGAGTTTCAGGCATACAATATTTTTACACCATTCTCTTTACCGGTGTTCCACCAAGTTCCCTCTCCTCCTCTTTTTTTTAATCTAGCAATTTGATGGAATTGCTATGTGGGGGTTTAAAATCCAACTGTCATTCAAATTCGCATCCTTCTAACTCACCACATAATTTACAAGCAGGCCAACGGGTCTCAGTGAAAGTGTCTTGTCCTATGAGGCAAACATATGTGCTCCCACTCCCATATTTCTGAGTAAATTGCCTGTCCACCAGTAAGACAGTATGGAAATCCCAGCTAGAAATTCCAATGAGAACAAACTTCCATGAATCAGAACTAAATGCTGTGATGCTGAGTTCCTGTACTGTTTTTTATGGGGTGGTCTTTTCTTCCTCTTTCTGTCTTATTCTCTTCCTTATGTCCCTTGTTTTTTGTATCACTGCATGGGCTCACACTTGCTAGAATAGAACACTGGCTTTCTGTATTGTTTTTTCTTCTGAAAATGATGTACAAAACACTACTACTGAGCATTATTTCTCATTGCAGTGGTACTCTCCTAGTGGCGTACGGTTCTCCAACATTCTTGCAGTAAATGTCTCACCAGGAAGCTCCTGGAAAATATAAGGCAGGAATCCTTGCATCTATAATAACAAGTGCTAATGGAGGCATGCTCAGATACTTCACACTTTTATTGAGTGTCTTCTATGTGCTACCTGTTTTGATGCACATCACTGAAAGCAAATACAATTTTCCTTTACTCCAGAGAAACAAAATTCAATATTTTTGTAAACATAATTACCGCTTGTGTGACATATCTCATTATATACATGGATATTGGACATTGGATATTTCAAATCCATTCACTTAGAATGTGCCAAATGTTTATGATACTGAGCATCCGTTTTCTCCCTAAGCTTATATCCTTCATGCTTCAGCCTCTTTAGGTAACCTAAATAAATGTGAAACAGGAAGCATGCATAAATTAAACAGTTGTTTCTACCTATATCTTATATAAAGTCAATGATAAATTATTGTAACTCTATGGACTTAAATATGAAAATCCAGTATCAGTCTATAGACTTACAAATCACTTTTGAACTTCAATTTGGATTGACCAAAAACATCAGCAATGATACTGCCAATTTATACTGTAAAACCTCCAGTATTTAGATAGGCAGCTATGGCTATAAACAATAATAATCAAAACAGATGTATATAATGAGCATGAAAATCTAAAAGCTTGGTATTCAGAGAAACGACTGGAAGTTAAGCATTTGCCATGCACACTATGATATTGGTTTATTCCCTAGCACTACATATGGTCTTGAAAACCACCAGGAGTGATTCTTGCACACAGAACTAGAAGTAGGCCCTAGGCACTGACTGTGTGACCTAATACACACACACACACACACACACACACACACACACACACACACACAAAGTAAACTCTCTTCTAGTCAAAAGTTCTCTACTAAGATTCTAGGTTTCTTCCATTCTTTTTAATTCCTTTTTTCTTTATTTTTAAATTTTGTTTTATTTTTATAAATTTGTTTACAATAATTCATTACATTTAATATTCACACACCAATCCCGCCACCATTGAACCTTCCCACCACCATATTTCAAATGTTTCCACCCCAAATCCCAAAACATACCCACCCAAAGCAGAACTGAAACCATTAATTTTGTATTGCTTGTTATGAATAATCTAAAAATGGTCCAATTAAATTTCCTTAGAGGAAAGTGTGTGAAGATTGTTGTATTTCATCCTGGGGCCAATAGGCCCTTGTACAAGAGATTACTAACATGTTTAATGGTAGTGCTATCTTTCATATCTACACCATTGTTGTACCAAGAGTAGAACAGAACATTTGATTGGCTCTTTTCTTAAGTTTCAGTGGGTAGATGCCCTTAGAAAAATCATCAAATAGGATGAGTTTGTTTTTAATGCATACTGTCTCCTCCCCCACCCTGTTGCTTCAGCACTGTATTAGTTCACTAGGGAAACCATGAGAAAATACTATAGGCAGGATGACTTAAACAACAGAAATTTATTTTTTTACAACAGGAGGTCAAAAGTCCAAGATCAAGGTGCTGAAAGGCTTGGTTTCTCCTATGACTGTTGCCTTCTTGCCATGTCTTCACATGGTTCTTTCTCTGCAAATGTTCACTCCTGGTAACTTCCTTTTTCAAGGACACCAGTCATATAGAATTAGGGGCTACCCTGAGGTTTTTCTTTTTTTTTATCTTTAACCTTCTTTAAGAGGTCCTATCATCAAGTATAGTCACATTGAGGGGTAGAACTTTAACAAATAAACTTGGAGGGAAGGGCAAGATTCAGTCCTTGGTAACCAATATCTTATTTCTTTCTTTACTCCCCTGCCTTCCATTTTCTCTTTATTCCCAATAACAGACGTTTTCATTCTGTCATAGAATCCATAATCTGACAAAGAATTACACATAATTAAGTTGGGCTTCAAACCTCAGGCCAATGAAGAAACTTTAGTTTCCCCCAAACAAGGAAAGTCATAGCACTAGGAACTAAACTAGAGTTAGAATCCCCAGACCATAAGAATCAGAAAGTAAGCACCAGCCTAGTGGGATAAGACATTATACTTTGAAGTATACAGAATTAGGAAAGTTCATCGAGTTTTTTACCTTCCCCGTAACCCCTTGGTCTTTTCTATATTCAAAGAGATCACAACGATAATTGAAGAGAAATGTCTTCTTATCCTTTTCAGGTCTCTTTGAGTTGCTCATTGGTAGTTTCCTTGGATATTTGGAAGCCATTTCTACTGGCCTAGTGTGTAGGGTAGAAGAGTGTTACCTGGAGTGCTTCTCGTGGGACACAGCACCACGCCACTGCTATAGACATGCCCTGGAGACCACACATCCCATCAGAGACTGGTGTCAACTAGCTTCCCCGACTGCTGAATCACCTGCTTCCTCCTGATTATGGCATTCAGAACTTTCTTCCTGGGCCCCAACTGCATTTGTATGCTCTGAAGGTCCTCGTCAGAGCAAAGCAACAGAGCCTCCAGGTCAATCTGCTCTCTTGTGAAAATCGGAAGGAATTCTTCCAGGTGGTGGGACAGCAAGAACACTTCCAGCGGCGTAGCATCGACCACATCTTCCTCCCACTCCACCTCATGCTCCGCCCAAGGCAGATCATCTTCCTGGTCATTTTCCTCCCTATCTTCCATAGCTTCAGCTTCATCAGTCTCTTCGGCTCCTGGTCCCTGCAGCAATTCACTGGTCATTTTGAACCCCATCTCCCTCTTGCTCTCGGAGATGTCTTCGGAGTTCATTATTCTATTAGTATTAAAAATAATATTTCCAAGACCTGGACGGTTGAGAATGGATTCATACTGTACACTATCGTCATCCTCGGCTGAGAAATGCAGCTTCTCTTTGAAGTTCTCTGAGAATTCCTCGTCCTCTTCCATGAACACTTCCATCACGTTTCTCTGCCCACTTCCGTTTGCCTTTCCAACCTGTTCTACTGTGTCTTTGTTCTTCTTAAACTTTAACCTGAAGGTGTCTTTGATGCCCTTCGAGAGAGAACCAAATGTGCTGGAAGTAGAAGCACTTGAAAGGGATGAGCTGGAGAAACTGCTCTTGGAAGAGAGAGTCCCAAAGTCCTCTTTGTTGTGAGTGCGGGCCATCTTATTCTGGTGTTTTTCCTGAAGCTTCTCACACTCTTTGATTTGTCTCTTGGCATTTTTCTGAGCCTGCTCCTTCAGCCTGGTGACCTTTTTAGGGTTCATGATGTTCTGGTTTCTGGCAGCCTTATCCAGGAGAGCAACACATTCATTCTGCTCTCGGCTGGCGGCGGCATCCAGCGGAGACTGCAGGTCATTATCCAGGGCAAAGATGTTAGCACCAAAGTTGATCAGGAAAGAGACACAGTGAGTGTGACCATTGGAGGCTGCATAATGTAGAGGAGTATTTCCCCAGATGTCACATCTGTCAGGGTCCCCTCTAGAAGAGAAAATAAAGAGACATGCAGTTTTTTTTTCTCTGAACCTGGGGTTCCCCCCAAATAAGAACAAACATGAAAAACAACAACCAGGGGCTGGAGTGATAGCACAGAGGGTAGGGCATTTGCCCGGTATGCGGACGACCCGGGTTCGATCCCCAGCATCCCATATGGTCCCTTGAGCACCGCCAGGAGTGATTCCTGAGTGCAGAGCCAGGAGTAACTCCTGTGCTTTGCCAGATGTGACCCAAAAAGCAAAAAAGAAAAGAAAAAAAAGGAGAAAAGAAAAGAAAATCAACATCTATACTAATCCTTCCCTGACATTCTCAAAGTTTGGTTTCAAACACATATTCCATAGCCAGAAAAATAAAGGGCTCATCTCTCATTTTTCTTCTACCTTCTAGAAACAAGAAAATCCTTCAAAGACACTCTCTAAAAGAGCAGTATTCGTGTCTCATTTGGCTAGAATGTGGTCAACGGCTAAGGGAAGAGAAACAAAGCCACCTCGTTTGGTTTAGATCACTTAGAAAATTCTCCCAAAGCTGGCATTAGGATTGCCCAACATTGTTCTGGTAAATGTTTAACAACTGGGTCATGGAGCAAAATATCAAACGCTGATTTATAGTGTGTGACAATATCCTTGGTGTAAATATGTCATCATGGTAAAATCCAATTTATTATCGTGGCATTATGAGTCATGAATTTGGAAAAGAAATTCATTACAAATTCTTTCCATTGTATATGCATACATATACATATATGCCTGTGTACATATACATATATAATGTATGGGTATAATATATGGGCCTAATATTAATAACTTATATAATAGTATAGAATGTGATAAAATAATTGTGAGATGAGGAGTTTTTTAGTGTTAGCTAATTTAAGTTATTAAAGTATAGGCTTATATAGTTTCTTTTTACAAATATATGCATTCAACTGATGCTCAAAATTTCTGAAAATTTATCAATCATCTCTCATGAACTGCATACCCTCCCTTAATCACTTGTAGAGAAATAATTGAGTAAAATTAGGTCTCTATCAATAATATAGAAAGGGATGGATATCAGGGCTGGAGTGAGATAGTACAGTGGATGAGGTACTGGTTTTGCATGGGTAGACCAGGGTTTGATCCCTGGACCCCTATATGGTGCCCACACCCACCAGGAGTGATCCATGAGCACAGAGCCAGGAGTAAGCCCTGAGCATAGCTGTGTCCCCAAAACAAAACAAAACAAAACAAAAAAGAAAGGAATGGATATTGAGTAGGTAGTAAATGCTCTGTTAATAATAATGCAAAGGTTACAATATATTTTCTGGTTTCTCAATTTTTTTCCCTAGGAGAGTAACATACATATGAACAGTTCTGTAATCTTTTAAGATGGACATTGAGAGGGGCTGGAGTGATAGTACAGTGGGTATGGCGTTTGCCTTGCACGTGGCCGACCCGGGTTCGATTCCCGGCATCCCATATGGTCCCCTGAGCACCGCCAGGAGTAATTCCTGAGTGCATGAGCCAGGAGTAACCCCATGTGCATCGCCAGGTGTGACCCAAAAAGCAAAAAGAAAAAAAAAGATGGACATTGAGAGAGTAATAAATGCTATTAGGACCAGAGATCCTATGGCCATCACAGAAATAGGTATAAAGTAGGTGCTCAATAAAGGTTTAAGCAATAAATGAATCTCTGGAATCCTGTCCTAGCCCCCTCCCCCATGACCACCTTTCATATGTATGCCTTATGTTACAAGCAACACAAATAAATAACAATTTCTTGTTGATTATGATCTGTCTCCAGCCACTACTGACAAATCTGAAAATACAAATGGTACCTTCTGATTCTTTTGACTGGATCCCCAGATAGAGATCTTACCAAAGCCCCCCGAGACAACTCCATGGAAGGAGAAGAGAGAACACAAGAAAGCCTCTTAGCATTTCTTGTGAGCCAAAAATGGAAATGGAAAAGAAGACCAAGTTCTAGTGGTGGATGTGTTACAGCACTATAAACTCTCACTTGTTCATTTTGTTTTGTATTGTTTTGGGGGGGACTTGGGGCTATACCTTTTGTTGCTCAGGGATGACTCCTGCTTCTGTGCTCAAGAATCACTCCTGGCAGGACTCGGAACCACATGGGGATGGAACCTGGGTCAGCCACTTGCAAGTATTATAGCTCCAGCTCTGACTTGGACATTGTTACTCAAAGTTTGGTCCCTGAGCTACCAGCAGCAGCAATAGCAGAATCACATGTAAGTTTGATAGAAAGACAAAATGTTGTACCCCAGCCCAAATGCTTGTTTCAGAATCTGAACATTTAATAAGATACCCAAATGATTTCTAAGCTCATGATAGATTAGAAAGAGCTGCACTGTTTGATGTCACCTAACTGACGTTTTACAATTCTGTGAACAGATTTGTAGCTCCTCTGTGGAACCTCTGGTTTCCTTATGCTTTCTGGCTGTGAAGTACTTAGACATTCACTAGCTACCTACACACCAACAATCATCACTGTGTTCTTCTTAGAGAAGGAATCACTGTCACTCTCACTGTCCTCCTGTTGTTCATCGATTTGCTTGAGCGGGCCCGGTAACATTGTGAGACTTGTTACTGTGCTTGGCATATTGAATATGTCACAGGTAGCTTGCCAGGGATATTAAAAAATGGCACTATGCTAGTAATATTCAAGGACAGATAAAACAGGGGCCAGGAGGACTGCTTGCGACAAGAACATCGAGGGTGGAGGTTAGAGAAAGGACCACTGTGACAATAATAGTCGGAAATGATCCACTCTGGACAAGAACGGTCACGGTTACGGTCCTCCCGTTGTTCATCGATTTGCTCGAACGGGCCCAGTAATGTCTCCATCGTGAGACTTAAGATACTCTCTGTAGCTTGCCAGGCTCTCCGAGAGGGGTAGAGGAAGAATCAAACTCCAGTGGGCCGTATTGGCCGCGTACAAGGCAAATGCCCTACCTGCTGTGCTATCGCTCCAGCCCTTAGAGAAGGAGGAAGAGAATAATTATCAGAGTGATAACATAAGACAACAGGTGTTTAATGGATTTGTCCATTGGTATACAGGCTTCAAGGCTTGACCCCAATGCCGACACAATACATTCTCGTGTTAACATATCACCTTTTAGACCAGAGAGAGTTCAGGGTTTAGGCACTTGCTTTGTATGTGGCTGACTCTGGTTTGAGCCTTGGCACCACATATGGTCCACAAACACTGCCAGGAGTGATCCCTGAGTACAGTCAGGTGTGGCAAAATAAATAAATAAAGCACTTTTTATACTTTAGCAGATACCTACCTTTTTAGAGAGGACCAGGCAAAGAATGACTGTGCTCATTTGTGGGATATAAAAAAATGGTACTATGCGAGTAATATCCAAGGACAGATAAAACAGGGGCCAGGAGGACTGCTTGCCACAAGAACATCGAGAGTGGAGGTTAGAGAAAGGACCACTATGACAATAATAGTTGGAAATGATCCACTCTGGACAAGAACAGAGTGTTGAAAGTAAGTAAAGAAATACACCTGATAACATTTCAGTACCTGTATTGCAAACAATAAAACACAAAAGGAAAGTCAGAGATAAAGAGAGAAAATCACAGGCGTAGAGGCAGGCAGGGGGCAGGGGTGGGGGTAGGGGAAAGTAACAGGACATTGGTGTTGGGAAATGTACACTGATGAAGGGATGGGTGTTCGGACATTGTATGACTGAAACCCAATCATGAACAACTTTGTAACTGTATATCTCATGGCCATTCAATTAAAAACAATTTTTTAAAATAAAACAAACAGAGCTTTTAAGTAAGGGTTCAGTGTTCTGCTGTATAAATTGAGCAGATTACCTCTCATAGAATTGTTATGCCAATTAGTTAACATATAAAAATCAATAGATGAGTGCTTGGTGCATTGTAGCTATTTGATTGATTAGTTCTCTACTATCATTTTTATCACTAATCTCATAATTCCCAAGTCCCTATATTTTCCCCTCACATCCATCTACTAACCACTCTCTCTCAGCACTATGATAGCTATTATACTTACTTGACATTTATAGTCTTGTGTAATTTGCCAAGTATGTATGCCCTGTTCCCCTGGTTCAATAATGTGCCCAAGAGAACAAAGTCTGTGTCTTTTTTGGTCTTTCGTATCACCCCTGACTTCTAGTCTCCACTCCATCTAAAGAAGCCATGCAGGTATCATGAGTTACTGAACAATGGCCAGGTTTATTCTTTCAACAAAGTCATATTTCAGCACAAGCTCCTTACAGAGAGAACAGTACAGAGCTCAACACTGGTTGATGGAACTCTTGATTTAAAGCAGGCACGATATTGCTTCCATTTTTTTTTCCCCAAGCAAAAACAGAAAGCCATAATCTCATGTGGTGTTTTCTAAAATTTTTAATGTGGGCTCAAATTTAAAAGAAAAATACATTGAAGTCCAAAGAAAACAGATTTGTGTGCTAGATCCAGCCCACAGACAGGCAGCTGGCAATCTCCTTCTGAACAGAGAACAGCGTGAGCAGAGCCACAGATGGGTCATGTGATGTACCATAACTGAGAGGCTGTCAGTATACCTCAGTGCGACCCGTGTGTGTGGGGATGGGGCCAGGGGACTTCGGGGCAAGGAAGAAGGAAACTGGATCTAAAGAAAGCAAATATTGAATAACGCTGTTCAAAATCTTGGGCAGCCACTTTAAAGATCGCTCTACTTTTTTCAACCTTAGCACAATTGTGTATCTTAAAGGAAGATTGTCTCGTGCTCAGAAATGTAGTTGGACTTTGTATTTATTTTAACCAAATGCATATTTAAATGAATCCTTAAGTAACCCAGACATCAGAGGGATTGTACATCAAAGATGTTACTGTAAACATAGTGAAAATATTGATTCAATTTTCCCAAATTATTCTTGGATAATTTTTTTAAAAAAAATATCATTGAGGGGAATGAACTGTGGTGGGGAATTAACAGGGTACTGATGTTTTTAAGATTGGATT